CTGGAGAGACTTATACGGAGCCTAAAGAAGCCGACTATTTATGGACTTTCATGTTATTCCTCAGTTTATTCCATGTTTTATGTACCCTCACATGCATACTCCTGTATTAATCCCCTTGGTTTATATTATTCGGGGCTTGTCTGGACTTGCCTTCATGTTTTCCTGCCAAAAGGTGTTTACCACCTTGTCCTCCCCTGGTTTCCCGCTCATCCCACTGTGATTGGCTAAGAGGGGCCGCAGTGCGGAGTGAGCTCCCATTGGTCCCTGTTGTTTAACTCCTCCCAAGATCCTCCCTACTTTCTCTCATTCCCCAATCCCGTGTTACCCTGAGATGTCAATCCCATGCTCCGCCCTAGTTATCAGACCTTCCCTTACCCAAACCCTATATAAATCCTTGTTCTCCTTCAAAAAAGCAGCCATTGCACCCTGACCTACCGTGCCAGAACCCTCTGTGCAGTGTCACGTCCCTATTCCTCTTCCAATGGGCCGTGGCACTCAGCCTTGACCATAGTGATCAACATAACTGGTCTACTCTGGCCTCCAATCAGGAGGCCTGGAGACACACCATCTATAACACTGCTGCTTCCTTTGAGAACGCATGCAGGATGACTCTCGAGGAGAAAAGACAACGCAGAAAGAATCGTGTCTTGCAGAATATACCACCTAAGGAATCTTTCTGCTGTGCCTTTTGCAATAGGATATGTCTATCTCGTATTGGCCTTATTAGCCACCAGCGTACTTGTAACAAATGTGGATAGACCCTTTCCCAAATCTTCGTTCACGAAGCCCAGCTGTGATGAAGATGAAAAAATGTCTCAGAAATGTTTCCAGTTTTTAAAAGATTAGACACTAGAACTAGGTATGGTATTCCAGTAACAGCCCACTGATATTTTCTGCAAACATGTCCTGCTTCCTTCGGCACTCCTGTGGGTTACTATTCAAACCTCATCCTCACATCACACAGAGCATTCCCATTCAGGTAAGATGCTCTCGCTGAGTCGAGAAAAAAAATTAGCAAATGTATTGAACAATGGTCTTAAGCTAAAGGAGGGTACATTTTTCCACAACTTTTGTCATATGTCTTTCCTAGTCCACAAAGAGATTTTACTTTATATTTCCAATGGGAGTGCATACCCAGAATATCGGAGCCATTGTTCGTCTGAGATGAGTCAACTCAATCTACTGTGATGATCTGTTTAGAGTCTAATTTGGGCAAAGCAATATTAGAGCAGAGCTAGCTGCAAGTATAACCTCTCCAAACATGCATTGGGCAAAAAATGTCTCCTCTGCAACCACCTCTGTGGGAGCCCCGGAAAGCCATTACATTGGTCTAGAAGCTCTATTGTCCAGCCAGACATGTCCTTGGGTGGTGTGGACCACAAAGATAAAACAGAACAGTGTGCAAACGCCCATGGGAAAGCATCTAGGAAAGGCAGAAACACGGAGTAGTGTGAGAGAAATCTCCTGGTCCTTCTGGCTCGACCTTCAAGCATTCAGCCAGCAGGACATCACCCACAAGGCACCTCAGTCGTCCTGTGCAGTCCTGCTGCTGTCCAAGGCCCTCTCAAGGCAGCTGCTCCTGCACTCCTGAGGCAGCAGGACAAGCTGCCGGGCTCCAAAAGGCCCGTGGAGCCTTGAGAGTGAAGGCGGCAGCAGAGCAGCAACTGCACTGGCAAAGTTCTCAGGTGCAGACACAGTACAGCTGCTCGGCATCTCCCGTGTGGAGAGCAGAAATAAAAGAAAGGAATGATCACACACCAGTATTTCTGTGGTAACTCTACAAGGATCTCCCCAGCCCGCGTAGCTTGGGACGTAGGGATTGCCCACCCGGACCGGGGAGGGACAAAGCGCTCTGGTGCGGCCGCATGTCACTTGGAGTGCAGGGCCGAAAGCCAAAGCGCACGTCCAGGGCTTTCCCTCTTGGAGAAGGCCTTGGGGGTTGTGGAAGACACCTGACATGCAGCAACTCGAGAAGCCGATGTTGGCAGAGAATGCAGCACAATCCTCCAAACACGCATGTGTAGGAAACCAAGAAAAATGCACGGTGGAGGACTGCATCTGTGAGTGGTGGAAAGCGAACACGGAAATCTGTGAGGAGTTTCTCGACACTGTGGAAGAATGCACTTTCTCTGCCTTTGTTTGAGGAGTTAAAATGTTGATGCACTTTATATTTATTTATGTACGTTTTAAATTTTTTAAATATGATGGAGAAATCTGACACTCACATAAACAGAAGTCCAGCAGATCGCCACTTCAAATCAGGTTCCACATCAACATCACCACTTAAAGCAAAAGTAATGTACCAAGACCCACTAACGGAAACCTGGACAGGCCCTTTCCCCTTGGTCACTTGGAGGAAGGTTTACGCTTGTATTGCAGGCCCGGAAGGACCAAAGTGGGTCCCAGCACGCAGAGTGAAAGTCCATCAAGCGTGAAGGAAAGCAAGACAGCCAAGCAGCCATTCCATTTCGTCTTCCTCGTCACCACCTTCAGACTCGTCCCTCTCGTCGCCACAACACCGCTGCGGGAGTGGATGAGTCAACCGAACGAGAATCTGTGGGTAACGCTGGCCAAGGCCACAGGCACGGACACCTTGTGCCTAGCCTTGGCTAGTGCAGGCAGCCCGTTCCGGACATGCCTGGTGGGGATCCCGATAACACCAATTGAGTGGGATGCATTTGTGTCCCAAACTTGAAGCAGGGGATCCCTACCTTTGAATTCCCCTAACTTAGCTCAAGCAATCTCAGCCCTTACGTTTACAGATGTTCCTTTTCAGGAGATTGATCTTTTAGGTTCTCTTCCCACTGTTGCTTGTGTTATTTTTCACCATTACACTCAGCCAG